ATACGTAAAATTTTGACAGTTGGGACCAAAAATATGAGCTCAGTATTCTTTGCACAACTTAACTAGATAATTGTTGCCATTCTTCACATTTAGGATAGAATTTGTCATATAATGACACATTAGATGTTATTTGGTCCAAGATATTTCCTGTTCTGTTTCATTTTTGTCATGTTGACAAATGGAACAGAACAGGGAAAAAAGTATTTGGCATCAAAGAATATAGTTGAATTAGAAATATCTGTCACCAGGCTTCGATAATGTCTATCTCTCAATCTATTTGGGGGTCTCAGTAATGTTCGTCTCAGGCATCTCAGCAATTCCTGTTTCCAGGTCTCAAGGTGCAAAATCACAAATAACAGAATCATTCCCCTGGACACCAGGGGGTTGCACACATTAAAGTGCAATTCCTCTAAGATGTGAGCTGTCTATAAATGTTCCACAACTTGTTTTCAAAGAAAAAAAGAAACTTTTCTCTGAAATTTCCTGCTGCATGATGCAAACTTCAACTATTCAGGAAAAGCAGTATTTTTAAAGAAATTTTAACAAAATAATCAACTTCCTCCTCTTAGTAGGAGATCTAGCATAGGACCTACTAAGGATTTCTTTTCTTCTCTTCCCTTTCAAAGACAGTGTTTCTGGGTAGTTTCCTGCTCATTAGCCTCGTGTCTCTCAGATATCACTTTCAGGAACAGGTTAATATATATCTGGAATAAGGGTTGACCTAAATAGTGAGGCTTGGGCTACCAAAATGATTTTTCTTTTTTACCTGCCAAGATGCTCTGATCTCTGTCATCGAACAATTGCTCCTGAGAGCAGCCATCTACACTGTGAGAAGAATAAAGATCCATGTCCAACCAGATCATTGCTGTCCTTATCAAGCTGTACCCTTCTCCCTTCCAGAAGTCAACCTTCGACTCATCTTCAGTCATGATTCTCTTCTCCAACCGGGTTTCCTGGACTGACTCTAGAAAAGGTAACGTTTGGGAGCTTCTACAGCTAGTCATTCCTGTGATTAGCTGCTATACTTTCAATGTTATAGTTCTACTCCTATAATTATTAGGCATTAGGCAGGGGTGTTGTGCACTGGGGGGGTTATCTGATAACTTCCTTCAAACTACTTTTCATGCTAATGAATACGTTTTAGTGATTATAAAAATTAAGAGAATTAATATTGAGACAGATAGTGATTGAGGGAAGACGATGGGGGAAGAAGGTGGATATGGTTAATGAGATTTTCTAGGTAACTGGAAGTTAAGAACAAAGCTGTTTTCCATTGTGCTTGCTTAAAAGAGCCACTAAGGACTTTGAGTCCATGGTCCCTACTTAGGGAGTCGAGTGTAATGATACACTTGAATCACTCTTCACTGATTGAAGATCTTTCAAAGCCTCTGGCCATCATTTTGAGGATTATTTTTGATTGACCAGTTACAAATGAAGATGGACAAGAGAGAAAGAGTAAGGCTGAAAGTGTAATTACCCCAAGACAACCCCTGAAAATTGTTTTCTTGACTAAGCTCATTTTATTATCATCTGTCTCTATCAGGCAAAAGAAAAATGAAACAAAATAAGTTATTTGAAAAAGCTCAGATAATTGGAAATTCTGGATAGCTGGATGGACTTTAAAGGACTCACCTGGAAGGGAGTCTGACAGTCTCCATCAAATTGTGTTTTCCTGGGCTATGTACAAAGAGGTTGTTCCTGACATGCTTTTGCTAATCCTGGGCTTTGAGCAATTTCCACACAGTGAGTAAAGGTTATACTGACCTGTTCACGCTCTTCCCTAGTCTTTTTTTGAGAGCAAGGGCAAGGTTTATGAGACTTTTGCTTAAGAGTTTGTTTTGTAGGCCCAGTGAGAGATCTGTTTCTCAGGGCCTGAGCTTTGTCTATCTGTCCATATGAGGGTTGAAACTGTCATCCTAGAAATGGATCATAGCCCATCAAGCCCAACAAAAGGAAAGGGAGAGAGAAAGCAAAAAAGGGAAAATAAAGAAAATTTCCTCAAACTAAATCACCCACTTGAGTTTCCTACCTTGATGAAAGACATGGTCATCCTTGTAGCACCTTAAATTAAAAACCTGAGGTTCATCCTAAATTCCTTCTACTTCCTGCTTTCTTGATCAAATTTATTTACAATCTATATCATTTTGTTAAACTTTTTAAAGTAAACTATAATATATAGCCATGCACAAGGACATTATAGTGCTATGATGGAGAAAGTCCTAAGGTTAACCCATCTTGCCCCACTTCAACTTGAACTTAGCCACTATCTTTTGCTTAAGCTACTGCATTAGCTTCCTCATCAGTTTCCCCACTTTCCCTCTTAGCCCTGTGCAGTTCATTCTTCACAAAGAAGCCTCTAGGATCTTTTCAGAACATGAATGAGATTATGCCTTTCACTAACTCACCTTCTGTCGCTCTTTCCTTTGCCCGCCTCACCTGTTGCTCTCCAGCCACTGTAGTGGCTGAGCTAATTGCTGTTATTTTTGTTTCTGTTTAGTGTGTGTATGGTACTTGGGATTGGACCTGGGAAATGCTGAGCTATATACGGCTAGCCCTTTTTCAAATTTTATTTTGAAACAAGGACTCACTGTGTTGCCCAGTCTAGCCTTAGACTTGCAATTTTCCCGCCTCAGGCTCCCACAAGGCTGGGGCTACAATGTGCCACTGTGCCCAGCTCACAGGGACTGTTCTGTTGTTATTGTTTTGTTGTTAATTTTAATTTTTCTGGTGTCCCAGCTATTTGTCGTACTGAGGACCTTTGCAGTGCTGCCTCTCTACCTGTATTAGCACTCTTCTGATTCTTCTCCCTAGCTGGCTATTCTTTACCCATGAGATCTCACCATGAATATAACCTCTTCTGAGAGGTCTTCCCTGACCCTCTTACCAAATGCATGGTCCCTTCTCCACATATATTATCTTTTTATCAAGACCCTGTTTTTCCCCTTCCAGTTCTTAACACAGGAGTAATTTTATAGTTATTAGTAAAATCATCCATTTAATTTCTATTCCACATCTATAACATATGCTGTAGAACAGTAGTATCTATGGCACACATGTTATTGTGTTTTCCTTGTAAGGCAGAATATGTTCATGTAGAGTTGCTTTTTTCTAATCTGAAACTTCAATATTCAGGTTTAATTGCAGTGTTAGCACTTTGTGATAAATTACTGGGTTTGGGGTTGCTGCTTGGCACTCAATCTCTAAAAGGTTCATCATCACTGCTGTAGAAACTTGGGGCCATGCCTTTCTTGTTTATGGTTTTATTCTCACACATAGTATGAAGTATATATGTAGTATATATATATGAAGTAATATGTAGTATATGTCTGTAGACACGGATGAGTGAGTGAAAGAATGAAACTACAAAGAGCCTGAACTGAAACCTCTCTTTTGCATCTACATTAACCTCTCTTCACTGCAATAGAAGATAGGATGAGAGAGGATTTAGACAGACTGTGTGCTTTTGAATTTTGAGGCACCAAGGAGCATGCCTGCAAGCCAAAGGGGAAAATCAAGTTTATTCCATTACTAATTAATGAGACTTGGGATTGAATGATAAAAATCTAATGATGTTAATGTTGGTTCTGAATGCTGGCTGGCGGTCTCTGAAGACAACGTAAAATGGTAAGAGGGCACTGCAGTTTAATCCCCCAATTAGGAAGGAGCTGTCTCCTCCAGGGACAGCCTTAGCTGCTGATTGATTTTCCTTATCCATTATAATCATAATCACTACTACCCCAGGCATCCCCAAACTTCTGGACCCCTCCATTCAAGGTGGATCTCCCTTTATACAAGCCATAGTACTAACAATCCAGATTGGTGCAAAGGGCAAATTATGGGGAAATTTGTTATATTAGAGAAGCATTCTTAATAAGATTCCTCTGAATAGCCAGATCCCTGAGCGCATTTCAATTAGGATTTCACTACGTAAATAAGACTTATCTGTAACCTTTAAGGGCACGTTGTCACCATCCAAAACAAAGCAACAAAGATGACTTTGCTTGATTCTCTAGCCACAGACCAAGACTTCTGCCTAGAACATTCACAGAATCAAGCCCCTAATTCTGGTCTTACATTTACCCCTAATTTAGACCACAATACAGAATGATTTCCTATCTTCCCATAGCCCAGCCATTAGGACAAGACAGCCATTTCACAAATATGAGGTTTTGAGCGCCACAGCAGGTATGTGGGGAAGGGGAGGCTGTATCCATGACTCACTGCTAACCCATTCCCGCTGCTGGAAAAAAAAATGACTCTAAATGCACACCCTACTACTTGTGAGTCAGGAATGTCATTTTCACTTATGAAAGATGAAACATTATTTTTCTCTAACATTTCAAGTGAATAACTTTACATATATTTCCCCCCAATTTCCATAGGAATTTGATGCCATGGAAGCAATCAGCTACACATCCCCAGAGCCTGGCAGAAGCTCCTTTTTCTCTGGCAGCTACTTTAAGAACAATAATTCTGAATTCTCTTCCTCCCTTCAATTACAATCCTGGTGAGATCCACCCTGACTTGGGGGTCCAGTGAGAGGCAGTAGTCTGAATTCCAACATTACTTTAGGATTTCAGACTCACTTTTCTATTGAGTCTTAGAAGCTGACTTTCAGAAATTCAGACAGTGCTAAGTTCAGAGAATCTTCTGCGCCTTGTACTCGTGAGGAAGTGTTTACCTCCCACTGTGAGATTCCCAAAGGTATTCGTCATCGTTTATGTCGAGGGAAAGAGTGGAAAAGAGCATAGGAGATGCCGTCTCTGTACACTCTCCAGGGCATAAATTTTTATTTCTCTACAACTATTAGGTAAATACACTTAGTCAAAAACAAAATAGAAAATCATTCTAGGGAAGAAGAGATGGAGCTTTTGAGCTACGTGCGAGATGGTCTTTCTGGTGCTATTGCTTCCCACCAGTCACACTGTTCTTTTGCCAATTGGCTATACCACTTACTGTAGCTTTCTTTTTCTCAGATCTGGTGCCTGAATCTCAGAGATATGAGTAACCTGACCACCGAGAAAGGATTTGTCCTCCTGGGATTTGGGAGTCTCCATGGATTACGCTTTTTCCTTTTTGGAATATTTCTGGGAATTTATATAGCGAACTTGCTGGGGAATATCCTCATCCTTACAGTCATTTCCAGTGACCGCAGCCTCCAAACTCCCATGTACTTCTTTCTCTCCAATTTCTCCTTCCTTGAGATCTGGTACACTACATCCATTTCCCCTAAAATGCTACAACTCATTCTCTCAGGTCCTGTAGCAATTTCCTTTGCAGGCTGTGCGGCCCAGTTTTACTTCTTCGGTTCCATGGCAGTAGTTGAGTGCTTTCTGCTGGCAGCTATGTCTTATGACCGCTACCTCGCTGTCTGCAGCCCCCTGCAGTATTCATCTGTCATGAACATCTGCACATGTGTCCTGTTTGCAGGTGGGTCTTGGCTGGGTGGTTTCCTAACTCCTGTGGTCACTGTCACCATGACTTTCCAACTGCCATTCTGTGCCACCGAGATTGACCACTTCTTCTGTGACCTGGCCCCTGTGCTGAAGCTGGCTTGCTCTGATCCTGAGAGAGTGGAGAAAACCACGTTCCTCATGGCTGCCTTCGTCACCATGGTGCCATTCCTGCTCACCATAGCCTCCTATGCCTACATCGTGGCTGCTGTGCTCAGGATCCCGTCATCTTCAGGAAAACAACGAGCCTTCTCCACCTGCTCCTCTCACCTCATTGTGGTCACTCTATACTACGGGACGCTGGGAACAGTCTACGCCATTCCCACAGCAACCCGGACGGCTGCCCTACACAAGACCTTCTCGTTGCTCTACACTGTGGTCACCCCCATGATCAATCCCATAGTGTACAGCCTGAGAAACAAGGATGTTAAAAAGGCAGCGAGGAGACTTCTAAGCCACTGGCTATACACCAAGAAGATTTAAGGGCCCTCACATCTTGAGGAAGTCCCATTGCTCAGCAGTCTGGGCTTCTCCAAACAAGGCCAGATGCAGGCTGAGAACTTGGGGATTTAGACCACTGCTGCTCTCTCCTCCCTGGGAAGTGGCAGCAGAGCAGGGGTCCTTCCTCAGGTGATACAGCCTGATGTCCTTAGGTTCTCCAGGTTAGTCTCTGCATAGTAAGATTAACTTTACCAAGATATATGCGACTCTACCAAGCTATACCACTACATGCCGATGCCTTTTAAGAGGAAATTAGAAAGACCCTGCCTGCAGAACAGTTTTATGCCATAAAAGCCCTTTTCTTCTCTTTCCCTTTCTCTACTTGTGCATGGGGGGTGTGATACAAATATCTGGTGGTGCTAAGTTATTTTGCTTGCATTATATGCGTCCTGTTTGCAGGTGGGTCTTGGCTGCGTGGTCTCCTAACTCCTGTGGTCACTGTCACCGTGACTTTCCAACTGTGCAGCCTACGAGACTGACCACTTCTTCTGTGGCCTGGCCCCTGTGCTGAAGCTGGCTTGCTCTGATCCTGAGACAGTGGAGTTACATAAATGTGTATAAACGCAGAGAAATGCACACAGAGAAGTTAGCCTATTTACACACGGAGTCTCACTACCCTACATATCCTGACCTCCGTTCTAGTACTTTCTATACTACCTTTTTAGATGCTGCCCAGCAATGCTCTTCATTGTGTGTCCCCTCAAGGCTTATGCACATTCTAACTGTTGGACCTCACCTTCTTCTAGTTCTTAAACCGTATACCTCTCCATGGATCAGAACTATCTCTAAAATCCTAGGGCAGCTATTGACTATTCCACTCACCTGAGCAGTTAAACAAGCCGCTGAAAGATTGAAATAGCATTGTTTTTATTCATCTTCATTTCCCCTAGCATGATGTTTTGCACAGAGTACATACAAAAATAATTGTTTATTAAATAAAGCAGAGACTAGTCAAAGCAATAGATGTGTAGTGGATAAAGAGAGTGAAACAATTCCTTTTTTTAATGCCTGTGCTGGCTTCCCTTCCCCAGCCCCTCCTCCTATACCCACACTTCCTTCCACTAGCAGCCCCAGTGTAACCACCTTGACCTTCCTCCCTGCCATGCCCCCCAGCAACCCTTCCCACAGTGGACAGATGAATCCTTTTACAGTTCAAACCTAACCTTGCCTGCTTGTTGTGTGTTGCCCCCCATAGTTCCCCAGTGTCCTTGGGATGAAGTTAGAACATCATAGCTTGACCTCTGGCAACCTTTCTTGCTCTCCCTCATTATCTCTGTCCATGTATTTTGTGCTCCAGTCACACCAAACTTTCCAATAGATTTGGAAGCTCCTTAAAGGAAAGGTCCCATGCTTGCCACAACTTTCTTCACCATAGTACCTAGATCCAGAGCAGGATAAACACATAGTTGCTCAAATAAGACAACTGTAGGTGAATTTAATAGAATCATTACCTGCCTTTCCTCTTAGTTGCCTTTTTTTTTTTTTCTTTTTGTTTTTTTCCAGCACCGGGAATTGAACTAACGACCTTGTTCTTGCCAGGCAGGCGCTGTGCCACTGAGCTAAATCCCCAGCCCCTCCTCTTAGTTTCCATTTATTGGTTTCTAGCCTATGAAGCCTTTTGACTTGAGGAAAAAGCTAACGTTGATTCGCCATCAGTGTTTTGTGTGTGTGTGTGTGTGTGTGTGTGTGTGTGTATGTGGTTTTGCCTCATTTCACTTGCTCATGCTCTCTAGCTATAAAGAGACACTAGAAGCAAAGACAGACACCCCAAAATCTTTCACTTACAAGGTGAATCAAAGAATGTCAAGCAGTTTGGGAAATTTTTTCAGCTGGTTCTTCCTGCTCCCTCCCTGACAACCTACAGAGCTCCCTGTTGCACCGAGTCTAATTGTCTACAATCTCATTTTAACTTCTTGTAATTATTATCCACAATTATGAAAGACAGCCTGCTGAACACACTTCTCGTGGTTACGACATGGATGTACAGTGGAAGTGTAAATACTTTCCAGCCTCTTGGGCTTGGCCTCACTTGCTCTGCAAATGCACAGTGGAAAGGCCTCATCTGCTCCATCCAAACAAGTCTTTGTTTTTTTAGATCCAAAATTCTAAAGAAGGTTGAAGAACATTTTTAATGTGTTGGACACTGGGAAATTATAAAATATCTAGTAGGCCAAGAATAAACTTAGAAACCATCCATGACTTCACATTGCTCTTAGGATAAAGCCCAAATGCTCAATGGAAGTGACCAACATCTGTCACAATATTCAAGGGCCTGTAATGCATCTCAAATCCATTGATGGGCTGCAATGATATATAATTCTTACCTAAATCCTGTTTGTTTTCTTTATTGCTCTCTGAACTTTTGCCTTCCTGACTTTAAGTTCCTCAAACCTGCTTGCTACCTCAGAACTTTCCTAATGCTGTTTTTTTTTTTTTCTTCCTCCTCATCTCACTTTTCATCTAGCTAATTTTGGGGGAACATTCCTGTCCTTTTTTTTATTTCTTTAGTACTGGCCATCCAGTCCTTTTTTAATATGCTCTTAGAGCACTTTGGTGACTTTTCATTATAACTTTTCCATAACCATGATGAAACAATTATCTGAATATACAGTGTATAATCAAAATATATGGTGAACATTTATCATAAATATTATTACAGTAAAAGACGTATTACTATTAATACTCCTCAAAATACACTTCCATCATTCCAACACACTTACCCCATCATTATTGTCTCTTTCTGAAGCAGTTCTGGAAAGTCTCTTTTGTGTGTTTTTAGCAGATGTAATAAAGAATACAGTGAATGCTGCTGCTAGACACCATCCAACAGAAAGGCAGACTCATAAAAACACGACAGTGCATCCTCATCCACCTGATTAACTGGATCTGTCACTGTGTGACTTGTGGCTCTTTCTCAAGGTCAAAAAGTTCACAAAAGATAAACTTTTTGAATTGATTCCAGGACATCTAGGCATCTAAAGACACTCATGAAAGAGGAATCCCAGAACGGAATCAGATATGCCAAAAATGGTGGAGTAAGTGTGTGCTGAGTGAGAGTAGTATTATATGGGAATGTGAAGGTAATGTGTGTTCTACTATAATAAATATTTTTATTTAAACATTCACCTTATGTTTCTATTTGATCTCATGTGTGTGTCCTCTATAACCTTCACAAAGGCAGGATTTGTGTCAATTTTGCTTGAATACTACATCTCCAGCACCCAGGAAAGCACTTAACACTGAATAATTTTTCAATTAATGCTTGCTAATAAAAGAATGAAAAAGAGCCATCTACACTCATTTCATTTATTCGATAAAGTATTATGTTGTTTTCATTCAAGATACTGTTATTTAGTCTTGTGGGCCAATGAATTTCAGTTTCTTCCTGAAACCACAGTGTACTTCAATATCCTCTGCCACTGGTCTCACAAATATATGTGTAATTCCCCAGAGGAAAGTAGAAATTTGTGGATGGCTCAGGACAGCTCATGCTGTGGCGCTGGGAAAAATGGCAAAATGAGTGTCTTGTTCACAATGGTAGTAAAGTTTCCTTGCTGAACCCCAAAGGTGACACTTGTGTTATTGTGTTTTGGTTCATACACTTGGGTCTGCAATGTGAGTAGATTTCCTCTATTTAGTGAAACATTATGTTAATGATTGGACAGAGTAATTAATAGCAAATCAGATTAAATTTTTATGTTTCTGTACAAGCCAAGGAGAAATTATCCCCATTAACCTGATCAGTACAAACTGTCATACTAGATTAGAAGAGTTGTAGCTTCAATTTGTACCTTAACTCCCACTCTTTTGGCCGGAGGGCTTGCCAGTACCTCGACAGCTGCTCAGGAAAGAGAAAGAGGAAAACTGGAACGGGCAAGTCTGAGAGAAGAAGAGACAACATGAGTTTCAGGCCTGATCTAAAGGCAAGTTGCCAGCAGTACCTGTCCCAACCTTGAAGGTCTATTCATATTCACATTACTACGCAAAGCAGCCAGAGTAAAAAGTAAAGAAGCGACATTGTTCTCAGGGCAGTGACATAGGTCACATCTATGGAGGTAAAAGGCTGAAATTGTGTTTCTGAGTATTGTACATGAAAGTAGAACTCGAGAAAGAGGACCTAGAGACAGAATCTGGGACTTTAGCAAAAGGGAATTGCCACAAGCTAGGTACAGTATGAGGAACTCAGCCAAATAAACTGAAGTTCAGGGGTTAATCATAATACAAGGCAATAATAGACACAAACTATGTACAAGGCCTCCTGGCAGAGTCTCCAAGAGTTCTCACCTTTAACTTTTCTGTCTCTTCTTCTTTGCAAACTCCACAGGCTGCTCAATTCACCTTGCATCTTCAGCCTCATCTGTAGTTCAGGACCACTGCTGTTATAAATATGAATGAAAGGGCTGGGGATTTAGCTCAGCGGCAAAAGCGCCTGCCTGGCATGCGCAAGGTCGTGAGTTCGGTTCCCGGTACCGGAGAAAAACCAAAAAAAAATAAAAAATAAAAAATAAATAAATAAATATGAATGAAGACATAGTATGTGGGGGCAGGATGTCAAGTCTCAATACTCTTTTGGTTGGTCAAGGTTGAGGTTTAACACAGCTGATATCAAACTTTTTACTTCATAATATTGAAGCCATAGGAGGGATTATGTGGCAAATGGACCAGAATTTATATATCCAAGTGAAAATTATCTTTGTCATGGAAGTCCCCTGGGAATCTATGCTTTATTTTGTGTTGCCTTAGTAAAATTTATTGGCATGTTTTGTAGATATTTTCTTTAGATCCTTAGATATAGTCTTTTGAATCTCTTCAACTAAGGGACATTTTAAGATTGGACCTGCATTATGCAGTAGGCAAAAGTTGTATTGACCTTTCTCTACTACATAATTGTAGAGATTAAATTGAGCGGTACCATTCAAACAAGGTATATTCTTCAACTATTATTTTTAGAACAAACTCTTAGATGTTGTCTAACCCTTTGG